CCCCTTACATTTTTCCATTTTTTACAATTTGGCCCTTATATTTTTCCATTTTTTTTTATTAAACCTTAACTTTATTATTATTATTTTTTTTCTAAAAAAACCCTTACATCTTTGTATATAACCAGAAGATTACTGGTAAACCTGCTAAAAGGGCCAAACCGAAAAAATGGAAAAATGTAAGGGATTTTTAAAAATAAAAATAAATTTGAGATTTGATTCGGAAAAATCCAATATATAGGTAGGGACTTGTATGTAATTAACCCTTTTTATTATAGCTTTTCCAGTTTTAATGAGCTTTTATTACGGTTAATTTTTTATTTGGGACTAATTACATAAAAGTCATTAAGTTTGGCAGAAATGTTCGGATTTACCCTTTTGTGTATTTCTCGTTCATTAAAGCCGTAAGTTTGCAACTTTTTTTTTTCCAATTTTACCCTTTTTGCAGGTTTACCCGGTAAAACCAAACATTTTTGCCAAACTTAAGGGCTTTAATGAACCAGAAATACACAAAAGGGTAAAACTGGAAGAAAAAAATGTTGCAAACTTCTGGCTTTAATGAACAAGAAATACGCAAAAGGGTAAAATGGAACATTTCTGCCAAACTTAAGGGACTTTATGGTATTAGGCCTTTTTTATTTTTGTATAAAAAAAAAGTATTAATTATAATTAAAAGAGTATAGAATAGTGTTTAATTATACTTTGTACTTACATATAATACATAAATTCATTCCATTCATACAGATCCAACCAAACATAATCATGTAATGTAAATACTCATGCCATTCAATAACAAGCAAAGTGTGTGTTAAAGATGAAATTGTATCCTTCCTTTCCATAAGCATCCGTATAAATAATTTACCATAATGACTAATCTACCCTTTATGTATTTGGTAGTCTTTTTAATGATATTCTGTTAAGAGAGACACGAGACCAAACTGGTAAGAGATTTTTGGATTGAAGCACAAAAACTACAAGGTTATGCAATTGTCGAGGGATCATTATGTAATTCACTTCTCTTTTTCTAATAATTCCAAACAGCCAATGCAAAACTATTAGTTCAGGGATGAAAAGTGAGTTGTAAGAATAGTCCAGGGACCATTTATGTAATTCACTACAAGTATAAATTTGGCAAACCAAATGTGATCGTTAAGAAGCATTACAAAGATGCACAAAACCTTTGGTGCCTTGTTCATAATTTCAAATATAATTATAAAATAAGATATATTGATAACTGAATATAATAGTTTGGATACAAACTTTAAATTGAAACATTAGTGAATAACAAGTCTTTGTGTGTTTTCATTTAAAATAATATTCAGTCCCCAACAATGACACTTAAAGCTTATTAAATAATTTAAGTAATGATTATGTAAAGAATGATGAAGCACAATCATAATTCATAAACATAAATTTAAACTCACCCCAGGAGCAAGATCATATCCAATTGCATTTGTTCCAACACCACTCAAAAGCAATAATGGATGATTTCTTGAAGGTGCCTACAAGCATGCATAATCAAAGTAAACTCTCAAACAAATAGAGGTAGATCAAAAAACAGCCATAAAAAGTTATAGTATCATATAAACCACAGAATTTGAACTTGATCAACGAATTAATTGCATCCACTTCTTTTAATTCACATCAATATCTGTTTTAAGATCTTTCTTTGTAGAGGCAAAATCACCTAGTCTGAGAAATTCATGATATAAAAAGATCAATTTACATAACCAAAGATATTTGTTTCCATATTACAACTGATTTGATATAGAACCAGATTCAACAGTACTTGCATTTTGTGGACAGATTAAAGAATATGGTGAATCAGTGATCATGTACTTATGTGAGCTCACATATAATCACATGAAATAAACAAATGAATATGGTATCTGTGCATTTCAACAACTTGTCTTAATCCATGAAAATTGTTAGGATCATATGATATTTCATAAATGCTAAAGTAGTGCGTTAGTTGAAGGAGCTCTTTCTTCAGAAGAAAGCCAAACATAAAGGGATAAGACAGAGAAAATATTCTCCAACTGTTAACCCATAGTTGGTATTTGTATCGTGATGGGTCAATTAGGTCATGCTGTGACGTATGCTGTGAGGTTTCTTCCTGAAGGGTAATCCGCAAGTGTCGTTAGAACTGAATCACTAACAAGTGTCATTAGAGTTGTTAGAACTAGAGGTATGTCTAATAGGTGAACTTTAATTTCAATTGAGTAAGATCGTAGCTTTGAGTTTTGATTAAAACTGATGCGGGCACGCTAGTTATATGGATTGATTGGACAACTGCTTTATTCTGAGGTTGGGCATGGCGTTTTGCACTCAAGAATCCAATGACATTCATTTGCTATAGAGGACATAGTGTCTGTACAGAATGACATATCAAAGTGACCTCCCTTCCGATTGATAGCGTGTTACATACATTAATTTGAGCAACGATTGATTTTAAGAATTTCGATGAAGAAGATGAAAGGAGAACACACACCTTAGGAGGAGGCTTGTAACGCCAGAGAGCGAGTCGCCAGTCGGAGTTATGAATTGAAACGTAATGAAGTTCATCAGCAGTACAGATCGGAGGCTTGTGAGATATTCTCTCTACGGCCGCCGCATGGGGCGGTCTCAGCCGGGGCGGCGTACGAACGGAAACGGGTCTGGGGAAGGGCGATTCGTAGCGACTGGGGTTCAAATAGCAAAAGGTAGCAGCAATTTGAATTGCAGATCGAAGATCCGATTGGAGGAAAAACATTTTTGAAGTTGGAATGAATTTACTATATCTATTCGTTTCGATCGCATGTGATGTTGTCTCCTTTTTTTGGCACAAAATCCTTCAACGTTTTGAAAGCCAACCTTCCATGGCCATTGCAGCTTCATCTGTTGCCGGGATATATCAGGATAATACATATAAAATCAGGACCTGTAAAATATAAAAAAATGGTAACAAGTTTGAAAAAAAATTCGACACAAAATCAAATTTATTAGGTGGTTGTGATGCTAAACTCCAATGGCCTTGTACTGAGACTAGTAGGGTGCACTTTGGTGTGGGTTTTGGTCAAAAACTCAAAATCAAACCGTAAACCGAATATATTGTTTTTGTAGTTATAGAAATCGTTTGGCTCGGGTTTGTGGTTCTTTCATGTGGTTCGGTGTCTAGTGGTTTCGGTTCGGTTTTTAAACTAAATGCATATGTGTTTTATGTGGTGTGGTTTTAAAAACCGTAAAACCATTGGTGGTCAATTGGTTATTGACCGGATTGTTAGAATTGTTTCATTTGTAGCAAATTGTCATGGTTTAATTCCAGACCATGCGACCTTAATAATCTTCTTAGTAATCTTAGACCCATGCGACATTAGTAATCTTACTATCAATTTCACCAAGTAAGCTGAAAAATATAAACAATGCTAACATTAACAAGGAAAACTTGCAAATCAGAAAATGTTGGAATACTCTTATTATTTATCATAAAATTTGGGATACACAAATGAGGGGGAAGAGTCCTATATATAAAGGCTTTCCATGGAATATAAAAAGACAAGGAAGGCCAACAGTCTAGATGAAGGGACACGATCTAGATGCTCTCTATCTGATGAGATGGATCAGATCCAACATGCTAGTTGGACTTGGGTTTGGGTCGTAACATGCTCCCCCACCCGATTTAAGGACGTCCCCATTGTGTCTTCATTGTGGTGTCATATCACGTCTTCAAACTACCACAAGACTTATTATCGTTCCCGACTTTTCTCATCTTCTTGACTTCTTCCTCGCCATTCCACTGAATCAGGTATTCCTTGTAGTTAAGTACCCTTTGTTTCTGAATTACTAGATCGGAAAAGGTACAATCGATCTCTTTGTTAAACTGAGTTGTGGTATTCCTTGTAGTTAGGTACCTTTCGTTTCTGAATTACTCGATCGGCCAAGATACAATCAATCTCTTTGTTAAAGTGAGTTGTGATGATGGTTGGTGCCCACTTGGCCCTGTTCCTGCCGGATTGCAACATCCAAACAATTGTAAGGTAAAAATTTCATTTTTATTTCAACCATTAAAACACCATTTAGTATTACCAATCATTCAAAAGTATATTAATGTAAAAACAGTTATCATAGTACAATCCCTAAATCATAAAGTTGCAGAAACATGGGTTGATGCAGTGCAGTCATGTCGGACCCTTCCTTTTGTACCGGAAGTACCTAAAACCATAAACAATAAACTGCAAGCACAAAACTTAGTGAATTTCCCCAAAATACCATATACCATACAAACATACAACCAATCATATTTGGGTGCTTGTAATCCCCTTCGGTCTATTTCAATCGGATATTGTCAAGCATATCTGGGTGCTTGCAATCCCCTTCAGTCTATTTCAACCGTAAATCGGGTTTATTTCACCCCTACCATTACCATATAATATCATAACAAAGAATCACAAATTCATCAAGTAAATACAAGATTAACTAATAGTTGTCACGAAGACAATCATCATACTACATAATAAACTAGTAGGCTGGCATTGGTATCTTCGACCCACAGATACAGTAAAGTAAACTCACCTCACGCTACTGAATATCTCAGATAAAAGCTTAGACTGCTGATACAGAAAAATCCATGTGCTAACATCATCAAATAACACCCAATTAATAATTGGTGCCCACTTGGCCCTGTTCCTGCCAGATTGCAACATCCAAACAATTGTAAGGTAAAAATTTCATTTTTATTTCAACCATTAAAACACCATTTAGTATTACCAATCATTCAAAAGTATATTAATGTAAAAACAGTTATCATAGTACAATCCCTAAATCATAAAGTTGCAGAAACATGGGTTGATGCAGTGCAGTCATGTCGGACCCTTCCTTTTGTACCGGAAGTACCTAAAACCATAAACAATAAACTGCAAGCACAAAACTTAGTGAATTTCCCCAAAATACCATATACCATACAAACATACAGCCAATCATATTTGGGTGCTTGTAATCCCTTTCGATCTATTTCAATCGGATATTGTTAAGCATATCTGGGTGCTTGCAATCCCCTTCAGTCTATTTCAACCGTAAATCGGGTTTTTTTTCACCCCTACCATTACCATATAATATCATAACAAAGAATCACAAATTCATCAAGTAAATACAAGATTAACTAATAGTTGTCACGAAGACAATCATCATACTACATAATAAACTAGTAGGCTGGCATTGGTATCTTCGACCCACAGATACAGTAAAGTAAACTCACCTCACGCTACTGAATATCTCAGATAAAAGCTTAGACTGCTGATACGGAAAAATCCATGTGCTAACATCATCAAATAACACCCAATTAATAATTGGTGCCCACTTGGCCCTGTTCCTGCCGGATTGCAACATCCAAAAAATTGTAAGGTAAAAATTTCATTTTTATTTCAACCATTAAAACACCATTTAGTATTACCAATCATTCAAAAGTATATTAATGTAAAAACAGTTATCATAGTACAATCCCTAAATCATAAAGTTGCAAAAACATGGGTTGATGCAGTGCAGTCATGTCGGACCCTTCCTTTTGTACCGGAAGTACCTAAAACCATAAACAATAAACTGCAAGCACAAAACTTAGTGAATTTCCCCAAAATACCATATACCATACAAACATACAGCCAATCATATTTGGGTGCTTGTAATCCCCTTCGGTCTATTTCAATCGGATATTGTTAAGCATATCTGGGTGCTTGCAATCCCCTTCAGTCTATTTCAACCGTAAATCGGGTTTATTTCACCCCTACCATTACCATATAATATCATAACAAAGAATCACAAATTCATCAAATAAATACAAGATTAACTAATAGTTGTCACGAAGACAATCATCATACTACATAATAAACTAGTAGGCTGGCATTGGTATCTTCGACCCACAGATACAGTAAAGTAAACTCACCTCACGCTACTGAATATCTCAGATAAAAGCTTAGACTGCTGATACGGAAAAATCCATGTGCTAACATCATCAAATAACACCCAATTAATAATTGGTGCCCACTTGGCCCTGTTCCTTACTTGGCCCAAAATCCAAGACCCAACCAATAGTACCAAAAAGCCCAATATGGCCCAATTACATAATTAGGCCCAAAAAACATCATGGGCCTAATCCTAGAAGGCCCAACTTCCTAAAAGACACCCAAACATCGTGAGCAGCCTATCCTCACGCCGTGAGCCTTAACAAGATCATCAGAAACGGGACCAAACGCTCCTCACGTCGTGAGAACAGTCTGAGGCTAAAACTCCAACTTTTAAGTCCTTAATCCATTAAGCCTTGAACTATAACTTTCCAGAAAGTCTTATAACTTCTTAGTACACTAGAAAGTCGATGCTTTTAAGACATATATGTCCAGTATATGTCTAGATCTCATTTAGATCCAAAGTTGAAGAAAATACATCCAACTTTCATGTAATGCTCCGAAAACTCAACCATTTTCTAGATCTGAACTCCAAGACACGCCTAAGTCTCTCATAACTCATAAAGTTTCTAACTTTATGGTTTCTATTCACTCAACATGCTCAACCAAGAAGAAAAGTGGGGCAAAACTTAGATCTAGCCTTGTATAACCATAAAGGTAGGAGCTTTATCACTTATAATGGTCCATAAATAATGTAAGGTGATGTTGATGATGATTCCTTGCAAGCCTCAACACAAGACCACCTTCTTCTCCTTCTTTCCTCCTTCTTCCAAACCAAGAAAAGCTCCAAAACCACTAAATATCAAGCAATGATGGGCACTAGGGTTTTTTCTAAGGTTAAAGAGGGTTTGGGACTGATAAGAAACCCTAAAATAAGGTTAGAGATGCTTAAATACGAAGGAAACCCTCAAAGATCATGGGCTTAGGCTGCATTACTCCTCACGTCGTGAGCTCTTATTGCTCACGTCGTGAGCTCAATCCTGGACAACATCTTCATGCAACCCATTGTTGGATTAGTGTCTAAGTCCATAACTATTTTGGTATGTACTTGACCCGATTATGAGCATGGTCCTTTTGGGTTGCCTTCACCATAGCAATATGTAGGATGAATTATGGGACGAGAGAGGATTAATTATGATTTATTAATATATTATAAGAATAATATATTAAAGGAGAAATCATAATGTTTAATTAATATTAGTCAAGACTTAATTAAGAATTAATTTTGTGGCTAAAAGAGATTAATTAAACTTAAGGGGACTAGAATTGTAATTATAAGATAATTACAATTGGGCTATGGATCACCTAAGAATAATAGGTTGGATGAATTCTATGGGAAGCCCATTAGGAGTTTGTCCAACGGATATTCTAAAGGGGTCTATGGGCTGCTTAGGGGCCTAAGTAGTCAGATTAGGGTTTCCTAATTTGATAACCCTAATAGCCTAAGTATATAAGGAACCCTTAGGCACCAAAACGTTGCTAACACTTGGATTAGGGTTTCCAGACGTTTTTGAGTGCCTCTCCTCTTCTCTTCTTCATCTAGTTGCTTAGTGGTGTTTGTGACTCCATTAGAGGTGCAACACTTGAGGCACTAAGCTTTTTGAAGCCAAGGAATTGACTGTTATTACTATATAACAATCAAAGGTAAGATCTAAACCCTAATTTCAGTTATAGTTTATTAGATCTAGGGTTTCTGGCTTTGGATAATCAATTGCATGTTCATTAGACAAACTAGATCCAAAGCTATTAGGGTTTGAATGTACATCACAGGAATGATGTAGTGCTCAAAACCTATTAGTGGTATCAAAGACTAGGGTTG